TACTCACCCTGACAACAAACACTGGGCATTTTACTTTATTAGTAGATGTCCGAACAAATTTTGTTGTTACAGCATTCATAGGGTTGTTCAGCATTCCTATAGGAGGGACCAACTATGAGAGAAGAAACAAAAGATTTAGTATTGACATTCCTAACCAGAAACTGCAAGAAAAGCATCCATGCTGAACACCTGTTTCCAGAAAAGCAAGTTTTTCATTTGCAGGGATGTTATCAGTCGGTAGAAATGTTCAAAAGTCTGCATGATTTACCCTGTCAAACATCCAGAACCAGCATCTTCAAGAGCAGCTTTGCAAGCTCAGTGCATTATGAATTCTTACATCCAAAAATTAAAAGCCTACCCAATTTCAGGTTCTTTTTGTGGACATGGATTCCAACAGAACAAGATAATGCAGAGTGAAGATACCCTTCATGTCTTTAAGGCCTCTTGTGGACAAAAAGATTGCCTGTCAGCTGACAGGCAGAATCCTGTTTTCTAAACAAATTTTATCCCCAGAACTTCATCAGGGAAACCTCAGCTGACAGGCAGAATCTTGTTTTCTATACAAATTTTATCCCCAGAACTTCATCAGGGAATGGTGAGATTTTACTTACGTCATTATAATATCCTGCATCAGGCTGGATTGCTCGCATGTCTCGCTGGTCTCTCTGCCATACTCTATTCTGGAAAGAAGAAAACAGCTCCCAGTTCATACAACCACTAGACTCATTGGTAAACAACAGAAAGCAAACACCACATTGACAGCCTGTTTGGGAAATTCCAAAGCACTCCAAAGATTATAGAATAAACTCAAGTAAAAAGACCTCGGTCTCAGGAAACCTGTAGAATTTATACAGCTCAAGAACAAAGACTCAGGATGTTTAAAGTCTTAATTTTGTCAGACTAAAGCAGCTCATTTAAAATTGCAGCTGAACAGTATGAAAGGAGCAGTTCTATGGAATAAGCAACATTATTGTAACAAAGGCAAGTGGTACTCTGCTGCCCAGGGAAATAGTTTCTCTGCAAGAAGCACCTTCAATCATTTCAAAAGCTTTACTTTCAGAATAAGCATTTACACCACCAGGAGCTGTGTTGATCAACTCTCAACCAAATCCCACACAGTGACATGAGCTAGAAAGGAAGCTTCTGCAGCTGAAGCACAAAGATAACAATGCATTCACATGGATAAAACTCAGAAGATCCAGAGAAAAATGCCTTCAATTAGTGAAATTTTGTGAGCACAAACATAACCTTTTCAAAAATACTTTATGTGAATTGTTTCAGCTTCGTGCTATAGACTTTACCAATCTATATCTGTGTACATATCAGAAATGTAAGCTACAATTCTGTCAAACACAACCTTTTCAAAAATACTTTATGTGAATTAGCAAATAAATTGTTTCAGCTTCATGCTATAGACTTTACCAATCTGTATCAGTGTACATATCAGAAATGTAAGCTACAATTCTAGGTAAAACATTCCCAGCATACGCTACTACAGTTTGGTAGAATGACTTAAGCCAAGACCAAATTACATATAAACCATTTTTCTCTTTTTTAAATTTTTTTTTAATAGAACCACATCAAATTAAATCAGTAGTATTAAAGCCAGGCCTGAAATGGAATTCTGGTATATCCTAATTTTGTGTAAGCAACCAAAACATACGGAACTGATTTTTTTTTGTTTTGTTTTAATAAACAGAAGTTTGCGTGTAAGCAACCAAAACATACAGAACTGATTATTTTTGTTTTGTTTTAATAAACAGAAGTTTGATGGTTCTTATTTCAACCACAGTAAATACGGTCCTGAACTAATAAAATTTTTTTTTTTTAGAACTAGTCCACTTCTAATAGAATCTTTTTTGGGGCATTCCTGAAGTATGTGTTTTAAACGTTTGGTGTTTAAACAGATCTTAGAAGATAATTTAAATCTGTTATTAAGAAAACTTTCCAAACATTGACACCTGCGAGTTCATGCACTGGCCACAGCAGATGGAATTAATTTCATCATGTTTCTGCAATGTTGCTGCTGAGTTTCCACTGATTTCTGCATTTACAGATCTGATTCTATTGCTTCTGAACTAATATCCAGTACTTGCACAGTACCTCCTGATCATAAAATTATACTTCTTAAGAAATTAATACCACCCCTTCAGGAAAGCCAAATTACCACTTTCACAGAAATACAAAACTTCATTAAAGTTGTTCTATATCTATTAACTGTACAGAAAGGGATTTTCAGAGACCACAGCACACAGTTGCAGTGTTATTTAGGTAAAACAATGAAACAACATTTTTATGGTGCCCTGGTTTTGGAGAGGAAGAGTTAATGGTTTATCTCCTATTTCAGGAAATTTCTATTTCAAAACAATATAAATAATGTTATTGTTCTTATTTTTGAGTTATGTCCACTGAGAAGTCAGAACATCACACAAGACAGTCAATTGTGCTCCAAGGTGGAATTCCAAGACAGAATGTAAAAATAGGTGTTTACACAAAGTACAAAATCAGCTGCTTATACGTGCAGTTTTATTACCAAGGACCAAACCCCCTTGTATTCGTACTATACCAAATTTACAAGCATTTATCACTTAGTTTGAAAATGCAGAAGTAGATCCCCCAGCCTCCCAGACTGCTCTGTGGAGACTGAAAAGCACAAAACCCAAAGTTTCAGGAAAGAAAAAAAAGTTTTTCAAACAAACCCCAGAAAATTAACTAACCTCCAAATATTTAATTACAGAGGGATTGTAGTCGATGGTCTTTCGGTTCACAGCTTTTCTCATTCGCTTTCCATCGAAGGTCAGCTGTTGCATTGCTTGCTGCTGTGCAAAATCAGGCCTTTTGTAGAACAACTGCCGAGGCGCCTGGTGCTGGAACCTCGGCATATGGAAGAATCGGGGCGGGGAGCCAATTTCTGTGGCCATGGCTATCTCGTTTCTGAAAGACAGCAGAGAGTGAAACACTAGGTTACTACATAATAATGACCAAAGTGCCATATTAGTATCTCTATTAATTTAGGTTTACAAGGATGAATAACAACTTCATAAAGCAGTGTTTATTAGGAAGAAATATCTGTAAGTTCCTGAAGAATGATTATTCTTCCCCTGTACCACATAACACTAACATTAACACGGTCAAGTACTTTGTTCTCTATCACGAGGAATTTTGTATTGAAACAGATCACGATAAAGTTTGCTTTACCAAAAAAACCTCCTCAGTAAAAACAGTGTAAGTAAACGCAAGAAACGGTAAGACCCTTCAACAGAAGATGATATTTCAGACTCAATATACAACAGGAAACACCACATTTGTTATGAATTAATAAAGTTTGCTTTACCATCCCTGAACTAGAACCATGTGGGGAAAAAAATGTCCTCAGTAAAAACAGTATAAGTAAACGCAAGAAACAGTAAGACCCCTTCAACAGAAGATGATATTTCAAACTCAATACACAACAGGAAACACCACATTTGTTATGAATTAATCTATTGTCAAGGAAAGAAATTTTAAAGGGCTGCCTCAAAAACTTATTCTAGGACTTGTAAATAAAATTACATTGCCTTTACAAAACTTATAGTAAATATACCACAGATCACGTTCAACCTGTAGATACTACTTTCAATTCCATTATCACAAAATAAATGGATTACATATTTATCAAGGTTTGATAAACATAACTGAACGTAACTTCCCCCCAACAACACCCATTGAGAACATTAAGAAAATGTGAGGGACAGGGAAAAAAATTCAATATTCAGATTTTTTTTTTTCTGACAGAGGGAAATGAGTCTAAAACCTAATCTTCCAGTCTGTAAAACCCTTAAATAAGGAGATCAACTGCAGCAACCTCTCCATAATTGAAAACTACAATATACACTAACTTCAGCCATTACAACTATTCTCCAAGACAAACAAGTCTAAACTAAAATAGCATGTTTCCTTACATTAAGACATTTAAGACCTTTGGCAGGAGTAGTATCTTTTATGAGACCAACTGGTGTAACTGGAAAGAGAGATGGGCTTTCAAATAAACGTCCTGTGGCTGAAAGGCTCATTTGCCTGAAAGGTGCCCAATACCAGGTGGTGTAACAAGACCCCATCCCTGCCAATACTGTCACATCCCTAACACCCCTGTAACAACACAATTACTACATTAAACTCATCTGAAACAAGAAAGAGGTATCAAAGCTTTCTCATGCAGGAAGTATGTCAAGCACCCCTAACATCACCTCAGATTCTCTTCCAGCTCATCAGAAGGTAGATAACTGTTGTACCCAAAGTTTCAGGTGTAATGTAAATTCTCAAGGGTAAAATTAAAAGGATACTAGTGGGTTTATATCAAAAGAGAGATCGCAGCTTTTCCAAACAAACCAAACCAGCCAGCATTAAGCATGCAAGTCCATTAATAAAGTTTTTAAATGTAGTTTTAAAGTTTATGCATCACTCAGGGGAAAAAAAAATTCTAGTACTAATCTCTTTCAAGTCTAAAGATACACACCTCTCTACCAACTAGTGCTTGAAACCAGAGGGAAGAAGATGTTTTTTTCCAGAGCCACACACCTGTACTCTCTTTCAGACAGTGCAAAAATACATTTCAAGAACTATGGCCAAGAATACAGACAAAGGCATATGCTGGGGCTTCCAAAAAGACTTTGATCAAAAGTATTTGCAAGAAAACATTACATTAAAATGCTTTTTTAGAGAAACATTCCAAGCAACAAGTTCATTCATCTTTTATTCTCATCTTTCAGAAAATAAAGGGATGTTATCAGTCGGTAGAAATGTTCAAAAGTCTGCATGATTTACCCTGTCAAACATCCAGAACCAGCATCTTCAAGAGCAGCTTTGCAAGGTCAGTGCATTATGAATTCCTACATCCAAAAATTAAAAGCCTACCCAATTTCAGGTTCTCTTTGTGGACATGGATTCCAACAGAACAAGATAATGTAGAGTGAAGATACCCTTCATGTCTTTAAGGCCTCTTGTGGACAAAAAGATTGCCTGTCAGCTGACAGGCAGAATCCTGTTTTCTAAACAAATTTTATCCCCAGAACTTCATCAGGGAATGGTGAGATTTTACTTACGTCATTATAATATCCTGCATCAGGCTGGATTGCTCGCATGTCTCGCTGGTCTCTCTGCCATACTCTATTCTGGAAAGAAGAAAACAGCTCCCAGTTCATACAACCACTAGACTCATTGGTAAACAACAGAAAGCAAACACCACATTGACAGCCTGTTTGGGAAATTCCAAAGCACTCCAAAGATTATAGAATAAACTCAAGTAAAAAGACCTCGGTCTCAGGAAACCTGTAGAATTTATACAGCTCAAGAACAAAGACTCAGGATGTTTAAAGTCTTAATTTTGTCAGACTAAAGCAGCTCATTTAAAATTGCAGCTGAACAGTATGAAAGGAGCAGTTCTATGTAATAAGCGACGTTATTGTAACAAAGGCAAGTGGTACTCTGCTGCCCAGGGAAATAGTTTCTCTGCAAGAAGCACCTTCAATCATTTCAAAAGCTTTACTTTCAGAATAAGCATTTACATCACCAGGAGCCATGCTGATCAACTCTCAACCAAATCCCACACAGTGGATGAGCTAGGAAAAAGCTTCTGCAGCTGAAGCATAAAGATAACAATGCATTCAAATGGATAAAACTCAGAAGATCCAGAGAAAAATGCCTTCAATTAGTGAAATTTTGTGAGCTGTCAAACACAACCTTTTCAAAAATACTTTATGTGAATTAGCAAATAAATTGTTTCAGCTTCATGCTATAGACTTTACCAATCTGTATCAGTGTACATATCAGAAATGTAAGCTACAATTCTAGGTAAAACATTCCCAGCATACACTACTACAGTTTGGTAGAATGTCTTAAGCCAAGAGCAAATTACATATAAACCATTTTTCTCTCTTTTTTATTTTTTTTAATAGAACCGCATCAAATTAAATCAGTAGTATCAAAGCCAGACCTGAAATGGAATTCTGGTATATCCTAATTTCGTGTAAGCAACCAAAACATACAGAACTGATTATTTTTGTTTTGTTTTAATAAACAGAAGTTTGATGGTTCTTATTTCAACCACAGTAAATACGGTCCTGAACTAATAAAATTTTTTTTTTTTAGAACTAGTCCACTTCTAATAGAATCTTTTTTGGGGCATTCCTGAAGTATGTGTTTTAAACGTTTGGTGTTTAAACAGATCTTAGAAGATAATTTAAATCTGTTATTAAGAAAACTTTCCAAACATTGACACCTGCGAGTTCATGCACTGGCCACAGCAGATGGAATTAATTTCATCATGTTTCTGCAATGTTGCTGCTGAGTTTCCACTGATTTCTGCATTTACAGATCTGATTCTATTGCTTCTGAACTAATATCCAGTACTTGCACAGTACCTCCTGATCATAAAATTATACTTCTTAAGAAATTAATACCACCCCTTCAGGAAAGCCAAATTACCACTTTCACAGAAATACAAAACTTCATTAAAGTTGTTCTATATCTATCAACTGTACAGAAAGGGATTTTCAGAGACCACAGCACACAGTTGCAGTGTTATTTAGGTAAAACAATGAAACAACATTTTTATGGTGCCCTGGTTTTGGAGAGGAAGAGTTAATGGTTTATCTCCTATTTCAGGAAATTTCTATTTCAAAACAATATAAATAATGTTATTGTTCTTATTTTTGAGTTATGTCCACTGAGAAGTCAGAACATCACACAAGACAGTCAATTGTGCTCCAAGGTGGAATTCCAAGACAGAATGTAAAAATAGGTGTTTACACAAAGTACAAAATCAGCTGCTTATACGTGCAGTTTTATTACCAAGGACCAAACCCCCTTGTATTCGTACTATACCAAATTTACAAGCATTTATCACTTAGTTTGAAAATGCAGAAGTAGATCCCCCAGCCTCCCAGACTGCTCTGTGGAGACTGAAAAGCACAAAACCCAAAGTTTCAGGAAAGAAAAAAAAGTTTTTCAAACAAACCCCAGAAAATTAACTAACCTCCAAATATTTAATTACAGAGGGATTGTAGTCGATGGTCTTTCGGTTCACAGCTTTTCTCATTCGCTTTCCATCGAAGGTCAGCTGTTGCATTGCTTGCTGCTGTGCAAAATCAGGCCTTTTGTAGAACAACTGCCGAGGCGCCTGGTGCTGGAACCTCGGCATATGGAAGAATCGGGGCGGGGAGCCAATTTCTGTGGCCATGGCTATCTCGTTTCTGAAAGACAGCAGAGAGTGAAACACTAGGTTACTACATAATAATGACCAAAGTGCCATATTAGTATCTCTATTAATTTAGGTTTACAAGGATGAATAACAACTTCATAAAGCAGTGTTTATTAGGAAGAAATATCTGTAAGTTCCTGAAGAATGATTATTCTTCCCCTGTACCACATAACACTAACATTAACACGGTCAAGTACTTTGTTCTCTATCACGAGGAATTTTGTATTGAAACAGATCACAATAAAGTTTGCTTTACCATCCCTGAACTAGAACCATGTGGGGAAAAAAATGTCCTCAGTAAAAACAGTATAAGTAAACGCAAGAAACAGTAAGACCCCTTCAACAGAAGATGATATTTCAAACTCAATACACAACAGGAAACACCACATTTGTTATGAATTAATCTATTGTCAAGGAAAGAAATTTTAAAGGGCTGCCTCAAAAACTTATTCTAGGACTTAACTTATAGTAAATACACCACAGATCACATTCTACCTGCAATTCTACTTTCAATTCCATTATCACAAGATAAATGGATTACATATTTATCAAGGTTTGAAAACTTATAGTAAATATACCACAGATCACGTTCAACCTGTAGATACTACTTTCAATTCCATTATCACAAAATAAATGGATTACATATTTATCAAGGTTTGATAAACATAACTGAACGTAACTTCCCCCCAACAACACCCATTGAGAACATTAAGAAAATGTGAGGGACAGGGAAAAAAATTCAATATTCAGATTTTTTTTTTTCTGACAGAGGGAAATGAGTCTAAAACCTAATCTTCCAGTCTGTAAAACCCTTAAATAAGGAGATCAACTGCAGCAACCTCTCCATAATTGAAAACTACAATATACACTAACTTCAGCCATTACAACTATTCTCCAAGACAAACAAGTCTAAACTAAAATAGCATGTTTCCTTACATTAAGACATTTAAGACCTTTGGCAGGAGTAGTATCTTTTATGAGACCAACTGGTGTAACTGGAAAGAGAGATGGGCTTTCAAATAAACGTCCTGTGGCTGAAAGGCTCATTTGCCTGAAAGGTGCCCAATACCAGGTGGTGTAACAAGACCCCATCCCTGCCAATACTGTCACATCCCTAACACCCCTGTAACAACACAATTACTACATTAAACTCATCTGAAACAAGAAAGAGGTATCAAAGCTTTCTCATGCAGGAAGTATGTCAAGCACCCCTAACATCACCTCAGATTCTCTTCCAGCTCATCAGAAGGTAGATAACTGTTGTACCCAAAGTTTCAGGTGTAATGTAAATTCTCAAGGGTAAAATTAAAAGGATACTAGTGGGTTTATATCAAAAGAGAGATCGCAGCTTTTCCAAACAAACCAAACCAGCCAGCATTAAGCATGCAAGTCCATTAATAAAGTTTTTAAATGTAGTTTTAAAGTTTATGCATCACTCAGGGGAAAAAAAAATTCTAGTACTAATCTCTTTCAAGTCTAAAGATACACACCTCTCTACCAACTAGTGCTTGAAACCAGAGGGAAGAAGATGTTTTTTTCCAGAGCCACACACCTGTACTCTCTTTCAGACAGTGCAAAAATACATTTCAAGAACTATGGCCAAGAATACAGACAAAGGCATATGCTGGGGCTTCCAAAAAGACTTTGATCAAAAGTATTTGCAAGAAAACATTACATTAAAATGCTTTTTTAGAGAAACATTCCAAGCAACAAGTTCATTCATCTTTTATTCTCATCTTTCAGAAAATAAAACCTCCTGAAGAAAGTTTTTCAGTTACAAACATAGGTAAATAATGCATTTGCTATTATATGGATCAATTTAGATTGGAAATACTAAAAACTATCACAAGCACTTAAATATATTTAATATACAATCAGTATCAGCAAGAACTACTGTTTAAAAGATGACCAAAGACATAAACATTTTAATTACACCTCTTCATGCCTACAGACCCTTCCAAGTTCATGATTATGACAAGACAGTGACATGTCAACTACAACGACATGATAATGAAAATGACAGGTTTATGTTCCATTCCTGTTCTAAGCTGTTTCTCCAACTTTTGAGATCACTGCCTCTGTCACAAAAAGCCTCCTACTAGCAGCTAAACTTTGGAAAAAGATTTTTGGTTACCCAGCTGCTCATGACCACTTTCTTCTAATAAGGCCTCAAATATCATGCTTTTATTAACATAATATCCTTATGCCCAAGTCATGTTTGCAATCATATATATACATACAAAAATATAAGGAAAGTATGTGCATATGCATATAGACGTGTGTATACACACACTGAGGGAAGTTTCCAAACAAAGAAGCTTTAGAAATAAAGGGTACAGATTCAGTCATGAGATGAAACTGGAGCATTTACTTCCAAAGAGCTCTACTCCAGTCAGTCAAACATACCCATTTAATATGCAAGTTATCAGTATCCTACTCTGGCTTTTGTTGGCACAAACCTCAACAGGTTCTCCTCTACATCTTTTGTAACAGCTGAAAAAGTGTCGCAATTCAGTGTGTCTGTAGCTAAAGCTCCTGCTGTACTGGGGAAGTAGAAATATATAAACAAGTATTAGAGGACAATTTGTAATCCAGAGTAGTAACATCCAATTTCCTATTTTAAGCAAAGTACCAAGTTTGGGGGATTTTGTGTTTTTTCCTTAATGCACAGAATTAAAAGCAACAGCAGGATTTTTTCCAACATCAAGCATAGGTCAGCTCTTCCTTTATTGTTTCTTGGATGGTAATGCTACCAATTAATTGCTACTCTCTTCTAGTTCATTATACTTTTATCACGATTTGAACCGTGAATTTTTTTGTATGCCATTCTTTCATGCATCCTCCTCTAGTTCATTATACTTTTATCACAATTTGAACCATGAATTTTTTGTATGCCATTCTTTCATGCATCCTCATTGTTTGCAACAGAAACATGACTTTTCAGAGAGATGACTGTCAGTTTCCCCCTTTTTATTTCCACAAATAGCCCTTCAAAGCTGATTAGCTTTTGCACATTTAGGGATATACAGAGAATATATAATTAATTCACAAATTTAAGCAAAGATAACACCATCCAGAAACCCTGGAAGGTAAGTAACTGGGCCTACCTTTCAGCTAAAATGACAAAAGAAAGCTTGGAAAACGCAATCCAATTGGGGAATAAATGAAGGCACATCTGACATGAAACTGAAGGCAGGAATGGGACCAGATAAACAAAATAAACAGATAAACAAAATAAAACAGATAAACAAAAAAACCCAAAGACAAGTTAGAAGAAACACAGTAAGAGTGGAAGTAACTATAAAAGCAAAACCACTAACCAAGGAGCAGGGTTAGTCAAGAGAGAGCGAATGAGAAACCTGACAAATAGACACGGGTTAAAAAAAAAAAAAGACATTAAAACAGATTTAATTGAGGCTCAGGCAGAAGAAACTGCACAACAGAAGTCAAGGACTCTGTGATAGAACTCAGGATGTCCATCGCTGTTCCTTAACTGACAAATGCACTTGCAAGACAGCAAGCTTTTTATTTGTTCTTAATAGTGCCATAGGGATGGCAGATTTATTAATGCTATCGAGTGATCAGACAGACATGGCTATAAAACAGAGTTAAAAATGGAAAAAAAAACAGTAAGGATGACCATATACCCAGGGCAACATGGTGTCACAAGACAGATGGATTTGTGGAGTTTGTTTGCTTTTTAAAACAAGTTAAAAGTCACATACAATATTAGACCTTTACAGAAAATGCTTATCACTTAGGTCATGTACTCGAATAAGACTACAAAGATAACACCAGCATTTCACTTAGTAAGAATGTTACTTTATCATCTTATTTTGGTATGTTTGTTTCTTTAATATCAAAATGAATGTGGCAATAAGTTTTGAAAATTTACAGATTTGGTCTCTACTGCCCAAAATCACGCAATCAAAGCAATTCACACAAAACTTGACTAAATCAAAGTAAACCAAATTCAACTACTCAAAATACAAAAAAAAACCCCAAAGCATCCCTCTACACTGTTTTTATCAAGTAAAGTTTGGGAAAAAATAAGAGACTCATGGCTTATATTAAATTCATCACTTCTTACAGATAGTTCAATATTAAAAAAAATAGAATATCTGATTTACATATAAACTTGACAAATTTTATACAGTTTACCCAAAAAGTAAAGATCATTATCAATGAAGTGCAATAACTGGTAACTAAAATGTGGTTGCCTATTCAATAGCTGTTTTTCACCAAAGTGAAAGGAACTTGGGTTTAGTAGAGTGAGTAATAACCTGAATAATTCAAAAGAAAAGTATGTTTCTAAATGGTAGAAGAGAAGGGCTATTGTCCTGGGAGGTGCCAGCAGCCAGTTACTCTGCAAACCTTATGCTGCCCGCTGCAATAAAACGTGCTGCAGCTTCAAAGACAGCCCCCTGCAATGGCTAAACCCACAAAGGAAAAGAGGCAATAAAAATTTCCTGAGTGTATCTGCATATTCCTCCTTTAAATTCGTATTAGAGAGTTAAACAAAGTACACATAGGCTTTAAAGCAAGCACTTTTGCAGTGTAACAGAAACAGTGAAAATTGGTAGTAATTATTTGCATTGCAATAGCACACAGGAGTCCAAAACATGGCTCAGGACATTCAGTAAAAAAAAAACCCACTCAGCTTTCTGAGGCAGAAGCAGAAGATAAGAACACCACAATGCAAAGTTAGCATAACAAGTTTATTGTTCCATACATCAGTAGCAAACACCATCTCTCTTTGATGAGACAAGCACACCTTACATCTGCAAGGTAATAAGTAACATTTCTGTAAATTCAAAAATCCCATTGTAAATAGTCACCTGCGAAAAAATGTGCGACTGCATAATTTTTAATTTGTAAATTAAGTAATCTGTAAGCACACCTGAATAAACACACCTCTTCTGGGGAAAGGGAAACAAACAAACAAAAAAGAACAAATACAATTTAATGTTATTCCTTTCCCTCTGCAACAGA